AAATGACCCCAACTTTAATTGGTGACAATAATTGGCATTGAATAAACAGCCTGAGCCTATTTGGTATAAAGTACAATTATCCCAAATTACAGCTCGGGGGAAACGGTTGGTCACTACTCTGAAATCACAAATAATATTCTGAAAATGTCAAATGCGAGCATTCAAATTCCAAAACAATTGCAAATAATGCACTAATAAAAAGATTATAGATTTCACACTCCAACCCATGGGCAAATAAAATTATTAATTATTCCATTATCGATTATTAATTATAAGAAAAGCCCCGGGAAAAGAATCTCTCCGGGGACAAAAGGTTGAAGATGCCCATTTTCAGACACCACCGGCGGTGCCACTTTCTTTTTCACATTCAGTCTGAGACAGTTGTTGGTGAAGTGTAATTCACACAGATGTTAGTGGTAAAGTCCAGAATAATGGTCCTATTGTTTTTGTGTTTTATTATTTATTTATAGAACATTGAAGCCAGTGGCAGTTTAATCCCCCCTTGGGGATAATAAAGTGTCCATCTAAAATTGTCAGATAATTAGCCCATCATAAACTAATTGGAAATGAACACGTTTTTAGAAAGCTCTTCAATGTTCAACATGAAAACCTGCAGTTCTGGCACTATGTTCCAGAGCCAGATTCAACACGTGAAGAAAGTGCGTTCACAGCTTCTTGGCAAACATGCTTCATTTCATCATTCCATCCAAAAGACATTATGTTTTGCTGAACATTAAGTCATATATAAATATATATTCCTTCATTGTATTTATTCCAAAATGATTGTGTATAATTAATCATGTTAAAAGCACAGATTCGCCTCTAAACAGTTTGAGTCCAGGCAAAGACTCACTTTTCCACAGATCCTAAACTTTTCCTGAGACAGTGCATCAGCGCCTTAATAAGAGTTCGGTAAAGTTAGCTTGATATTCACAGATTCGGACTTCCGCGGTGAATATCTTACGAAAGCTACGTTGTTAAACGAAAGTAATTGTGCCAAAATGATCACCTCTACATGGGCTAACTACTACAACATCGATTTTTCTAATCCAATGCGCTGTTTTAATGCAGAGAAATCCATTGAATCCAATGCGCCGCAAGTGCCGAGAAAAGCACTTAGGGAGCGTCAACAAATGCCAATACCAGCTGTGTAAACGAACAATAGTTTTTATTTTAAGCCAAGTACACGCACTAAACTCTCAAATACTATAAATAGCTACCATATCTAACTACTACAACCTTTGTTTTCAGCATTTGTTTCTTTTTTGTATTTTTTATGAATAAATAGGATTTAATATGAATATGAATTTTGAATAACTTTTTTTCAAAAAGGGGCGTGGTCACCAAATTCTCAGGTATGATCAATAACTACAATATCTAACTACTACAACTTTTGTTTTCAGCAGAAATATATTTTTTATGATAAAATATGAATATGAATCTTGAATAACTTTTTTTCAAAAAGGGGCGTGGTCACCAAATTCTCAGGTATGATCAATAACTGCCATATCTAACTACTACAACTTTTGTTTTCAGCATGTTTGTCTTTCTTATATTTGTATGATTAAATATGATGAAATATGACTACAAATCTTGAATAACTTTTTTTCAAAAAGGGGCGTGGTCACCAAATTCTCAGGTATAATCAATAATTAAAATATCTCATGGGTTTGACCATGCAGGTGGAGGTTTGGAGCCTCGGCTTCCTCTCTCCTCATGGTTCAGAGTCGTCTCCTGCTTCAAGAGGCTCTCTGTTTCTGATTCAGACCACTCCTCAGATTGTGCTTCCTCTGCTTTTTTCATGTGTGTGCGTGTGTTTTCTGAGGGTTGTGGTATTGTTTACTTGTTTGTTAACACTTGTTTGTGTTACAAAAAAAGTTATTCAAGATTTGTAGTCATATTTCATCATATTTAATCATAAAAATATAAGAAAGACAAACATGCTGAAAACAAAAGTTGTAGTAGTTAGATATGGCAGTTATTGATCATACCTAAGAATTTGGTGACCACGCCCCTTTTGCAAAAAAAGTTATTCAAAATTCATATTCATATTTAATCATAAAAAATATAAAAAAGATATTTCTGCTGAAAACAAAAGTTGTAGTAGTTAGATATGGCAGTTATTGATCATACCTGAGAATTTGGTGACCACGCCCCTTTTTGAAAAAAAGTTATTCAAAATTCATATTCATATTTAATCATAAAAAATATAAAGATATTTCTGCTGAAAACAAAAGTTGTAGTAGTTAGATATGGCAGTTATTGATGATACCTGAGAATTTGGTGACCACGCCCCTTTTTGAAAAAAAGTTATTCAAGATTTGTAGTCATATTTCATCATATTTAATCATAAAAATATAAGAAAGACAAACATGCTGAAAACAAAAGTTGTAGTAGTTAGATATGGCAGTTATTGATCATACCTGAGAATTTGGTGACCACGCCCCTTTTTGAAAAAAAGTTATTCAAGATTCATATTCATATTTTATCAAAAAAAAATATATTTCTGCTGAAAACAAAAGTTGTAGTAGTTAGATATTGTAGTTATTGATCATACCTGAGAATTTGGTGACCACGCCCCTTTTTGAAAAAAAGTTATTCAAAATTCATATTCATATTAAATCCTATTTATTCATAAAAAATACAAAAAAGAAACAAATGCTGAAAACAAAGGTTGTAGTAGTTAGATATGGTAGCTATTTATAGTATTTGAGAGTTTAGTGCGTGTACTTGGCTTAAAATAAAAACTATTGTTCGTTTACACAGCTGGTATTGGCATTTGTTGACGCTCCCTAAGTGCTTTTCTCGGCACTTGCGGCGCATTGGATTCAATGGATTTCTCTGCATTAAAACAGCGCATTGGATTAGAAAAATCGATGTTGTAGTAGTTAGCCCATGTAGAGGTGATCATTTTGGCACAATTACTTTCGTTTAACAACGTAGCTTTCGTAAGATATTCACCGCGGAAGTCCGAATCTGTGAATATCAAGCTAACTTTACCGAACTCTTAATAAGCGCCATTGAACACATTAGGATCATTTGAATATTTGCGCGACGTGGGGGCTGGGCGTGCGTGTGCCAGTGAGCGTGAGCATTACTTATAGTTTTTAATCAGGCAAAGCCACAAGTGTTCAATTGTGTTTGGTGCCATGTGTAGGCCACGGTTATGCGCCATAGTCTGTGCGTAAAATGGGCGTTGTGCCTTTACGCGCGCCTGCCGCCTCTGTGCATTCATGCGCGGGTGCACAGCGTCTGGACCAGGGTCTGGAGCAGGGTCTGGACTGGCAGCGGTAAGACAATGGGGAGATGCCGAGGGTGGTTTACTGCTGTCGAGACTGGAGTGTGACCCACGTCTGTTCTCACGGCCCGAGTGCCACTCTCCCGCCGCAGCGCTCCACATCAATCACGTTTCACCAGAGAAGAGGCCTCTAGGAACTTTTAAAACACTTGATTCTTGATTTGACTTTTAGTTTTAAACTCATAACGACTGAAGACACGTCCATTTTTTCCTAATTGTCAAATATTAAACACATCTTTATACAAGAAATGACCTATGTTCATAAATTCTCATTGAATGTGGGGTTTTAAAAAGTCAAAATGTGTGGCTGAAAGTTGGGTTAGTTTAGTTCCCCCAAAATTATCCAAGACTTTAGAAGACAAAGAAGCATGTAACAATGTTTTGTAAAAAAAACATTACAAAATAAAATAAAATGTCTTTACTCTGAGCCTTGTTTTATGATTTGCACACGAGACAATATTTTCTGCCCCATCAGTACATTTATCTTGGACCATTTTCAAAAAAACTCTTATTGGCAACTATCAGTGTTTTCAAAGATGGATGATGGAATGATTATTTACATGAGTTTGTGCTACTTATGTCAAGTAATGTTTCTGTTTCATTATAACAACAGTATAACAGGGTTAGTGGCACAGCTTTATTAACAAACTACTGTATGTATCTCATTTTTGAAATAATGAAAGATTCTTTAGTCTGAGCTCCACAAAAGCTGTGATTCTCTTGATAATCAGTTGAGAAATCTTGAGCTAATTCACTATCGCTGCAGGGAGCAAAGTGAGAGAAATAATACAATTACTTCAAATATATTATACATTATCCCCACCGCTGTCAGACTGTACAATAAGTCACTTTAAGTCACTTGCACTAGGACTGAAAAACCTGCACTACTATTGACACTGTTTCTTGAATGCCACTTTTTATTGTACATAATATCCTGCATTCAGCATTGTTTGCACACTTCTTTCTTTTGCACAATCTTGAGTGTTTCTCTCCAGATGTGACGTGTACATTTCTCCTGTATGAGATCAATTCTATCTTATCTTAACTTATAGTCTGCATTACTGAGCATGGTGCATGTGTCATTATAGAGAGATGTGCATGAATCTGTGCTGATGACATCACAAGTTATTTGACCTACATTTGTTTGGTTTTTTCTCAACATGAAAATAAGATAAGAATCCTAACCCATTAAGTTGGAGGTTAATATAAAGTTTTAGCTTCAGTCCTGTGAATACATACGAGGGGATCATAACAGCCATAAAAGCGTCACGCCGTTCACTGCAGTGTTTTCTGAGGCCGTGTCTCAGATTCACTTGTTCACAATGTTCACTGCAACTGACAAGTAATAGGTCAATATGAAGCCAAGAGGACATTAGTGCATCTGTGGTGGATGGATGAGTGACTGTGCCTGCACGCACTCTGCTCGCATCTGCTGGGGGCGTGTGCGCGGCTACCATAGGCCTGATTAGAATGACATCGCCCGCCTTAATGTTAGAGCCGTGAGAGGGTGGGGACCGTGTTACCTCACTGGCTCACGAGGGGGTGGGTCTTGGACGGCTTATATGATTCCGGACAAATGAGATGTTACACCATTTGGAGAGGCATCTGCGTTGGAGATGTAACCATCCCGGAGGACACCAGCCCCTCACTCCCCTTCATGCTGAGGGGAGGACAGGGGCAGCAGGAAGCATGCGCGTGAAATATGTGCAGAACAGCACGAGGATCCGATATTAAAATGGACGGTACCGGCAGAATACGTCACGATGCGTCGCCGCCACAGAACGGCGCTCCAGAACGCGCTCTTCTGGCTCAGCACGTCCAGAGGAACCACTGTCCCTCCTGACCAGTGCCCCCCGCCCTGCTGCATCCTTCAGTAAGTAATGTGCGTGTATAGAAGCTCAGCATAGCGACATTTGACGTGTGACGTGGAGTCCCAGAGAGAAGGCGCACGCGGACATGGAACTCTATTGTCACAAGTGCAAATGGCTCTGAGCGCGTTCTGCTTCTGGGATGGTTCCACACACGCTGCAGCATCACACAATGGGTCAATGTGTTTGTGCATGAACTCAGACTTACTGCTGTTGGACCGAGAGACATAAAACTGTGCTGGAAATAACGTGGTCCTGAGTGAAGTTAGTTGGAGATATTTGCAGTTACTGGCTTTGTTTCGGTGACAGGTTCATAGTCTTGATGCTTGGATTTTATCTGGACCTTTTGGCTTCCAACATTTGCTTTAACATCATTTTAGTTGACATTATTGCATTGTTTGTTCTAAAGTTTAACATGAGCCTTTAGTATATACATATACTCTATATTACAACCTGCAGCTGACTGAAGCCATTACCTCTGGCTCTCACTTCTATACGTTACTACACCACAGGCCCTGGCCTCACGACATTAGTTAGTAATTAGCATAATAACTTTTCCAGTTTGGCTGGTCCCATGTGTGTCTGGTCTATAGTTGCGGGCCTCGGCTGGTGGCGCACTTGCCTGGAGGATATTGCAGCTCTACATATGTTGGGAGAGAACAGTTTAACCAACAGGACTAAAACATGCAGAAAGCAAAGGTGATTATTGAACATCAAGTTCACAACAGCAGCTGCAGAGTCTGGGCGCAGGACGGGATTACCACAGATTTCACTCTTACATAAAGCTGCTATAATCTGGGCACGCCGAGCTCAGATACGCAGCTTTTGTCATAATTAATGCACATTTATAATCCTGGGTACTTGGCTTAATTATACTGAAGGCACGCTGATTTACATAGAGACTGTAACTGCTCACACACGTTACAGATCATAAATATGGGTCACCTCTGAATATTTTAATTTTATTTTACACAACAAATAGATTTATGTGAACATTAAACATAATGTAAAACATAAAATACAACGTTCCAAATGAACAACCAGCTGCTGAGAAGTGTCCATGCAGTGCAGTGTCCGTGATGGTCAATTAGTGGTCATTATGTCAAAGAGCTTTTCTTAATTGGCGCCTTTAGTTCAATCTCACACTTCAAGTTCAAGGCCAATGACGCACAGAGAGGGGCGTGTTTTGCAGGACAGACCCCCATGATCTGATCTGGTCCTGTAGAATTAGCATGCCTAGTTTGTGAGATTATGTTGGATTTGAAATATGCTTATTATTAGTTTTGTTTTAAGTCATTTTATTTTTTCAGTAAATTGATAATGAAGGATGCACGTTGAAAACTCCCTCTTCAGCATTAAAGAAAAGTCTTATATTTATGACTAACACAGCTGTAAATGTTTTATATGGTTATACAAGTAGAGTTCATTTATATTTAGATGTAATATGGCTGATTTACGCATGATGCAGCTCTGGGAAAATATCAGAAATCAGCGTGAAATGACAAGAGGACAAATGATGACAGTGATACATAATAATCCTCACACAGGAATAAGACCATGGCACAGGCTGAGGGCCACATCTACAGTGGAAGGCCCCACAGCCCCAGCTGCTGCTCCATTGGACTAGGTCAGGACCCAGTGGGCTACTTTCCCACGAAGAACTTTCCCAGAGATCATGAGGGGGGAAACCTCTAATTGATTTAGATTAATATAGGCTTTGTTGAAAAGTTGAAATACACTGATTGATAAAACACGTCTCCAAAAGGACCCACTTTTGTTATGTTAAATGTGTGTAAGGCCTACATCGCTGCAGGAGACTTGACAGCTGTGAGATCAGCACACGTGTTCAAACTCCACATGTTCTTGTCTGTTGTTTAAGCGTACTTCACGACTAAACAAAATACATGTAGAATTCACATATTTCTATAATTATGCACGCTTTAAAATACAGCTCTTTCTCTGTTGCAGGTTTGAAGTGTGACGACATCAAAGCTCCTTCACGAGTTTCCAGGTAAACATAAAACATATTTGTCTTTCATGTCTCATTAATGCGTTCTTGCGCCATCACGTGACTTTATTACAAAGTGAGGTGAAACCATGGAGTAAAAAAAAAAACGCAGACACGTCCATTACGCACAGTTTTACGCACAGCTGTGAGAAACTGCTGCACGATGTGGAACCAATGGATTACCTCAGAAATCATTTTAAAATCCTTTTGTGCCCCCTTTGTGGATGCGCACACTTTGCACCATTACAGACGCCCTTTATGCTCCCGACAATCTATTAGTGAGGAGCATTTCTCAGATAAACCATGGCCACTCAAAACTATAAAGTTCCGTTAAGAAATGCACTTCTACAGGCCCAAATATACTAAATATTCAAGTGCTATTAAATTAGTCATCAGCCTCATTGGATAATATTGCACGTATTATGTATTATAGACTATTTGTAAACGTTTTGTGTAACCAACAATCTCTATCATACAATTTAAAAAAGATAGCATACAGCTAAGAGAAAGAGGTTAGAAATAATATTTATAATTGCATTCATATGTAGGCTACTTAAATAGGCTGTAATCTGGAGAATATACACACGCATACACACACATTCTCTCTCTCTCTCTCTCTCACACACACACACACACACACACACACACACACACACACACACACACACACACACACACTTGGCCACGCTACACTGCGTTAATGACGTCACTTATTTTCTTGTCCATTTCGCCGCACGTCTCGTCCCGTGAAACCATAAACTATTTTCAACATTATTGGGCTCTAAAAATACGACTCTTTGTTTCAGGCGCGGTTAGGGCACATCTCACCTCACCAGACTATAGTCCAGGCCATGAAAGGACATAAAAGGCTCCTGTCGTTTTTGGCACAAATCCAAATGCTTCCTAATGTAATTCATTTGGGTCCGATTCATCTCAGCGCGCACCGAGAGCAGATGTCCAGCCGCCCCAACTCCGTGTATTTATTTACGCAATATACAAGATATTTATTTATTTATTGATGTATTATTATGACACTAACATTAACTGCAGTCATGCGGGCTTCATGGTTTGGCAATAATCGTGGCCTACTTTTTGTTCCAAACGTGCGCGCGCGTGTTAATTAGCCATCACACTTCGATGCTTTAATTGAAAGGCAGCGATTCCCGTGACGTCAGCGAGAGAAAATGAGGCGCAAGTGTTTATGGGAAGAAGTCTGATTTAATTATTAGCCTACTTCATACACGCGCACTTGCAATGTCATTATTTTGCATATAATAAACATGAATAATAATCCATTATAACGCGGTAATTATTATATTCCGTTGTTGTGATGGGTTTATTGGGCAGAGAGTTTTGCATGAGTTTAGGCTGATATTTAAATACCTGACATGTAGTGGTGGCACACACTTTTATTCATATACTTTGGACATTGAACATATTCAAACATGTATTAAGTCTTATATATTTTAAGATTATATATTTAAGAATTGAGGCACAAAGCTTAGAGTTTATTTATTAGCTAAAATCCTATGGACATGTAATTGGTCTGACAGCTCTTTTATTCCCACTTTTCTTCTCATCTCAAAACTAGTGGTTATTATTCTGAAAATCAAAACTGAAATCCAATTGGAGCAAGTTTTCCTGCCTCATCTTCCTTGTTGACGACACCAATGTGACGACACCAATGTAATGAAACAGTCAAATTCTTCCAAATGTTTGCTCATGTATGATCACTCTGCAGTACGTAGCTCCAGGACATTTCTCCGGCGCTTAAGTCGATGGGTGACCAGGGAGCGTCTCTGTGATGGCTCTTGCTCTGGGCTGGAGACACATTAAGCTGTTTTCCTCCGCCTGTGCTTTGAAGAACCTCCCTTCCTGGAGAGTTAAAATAATTTCACATTTGACTATAAACCGCCTCTCAATATTTTTTTTTAACATCACCTGAAATGGTACTTACATTTCCAAGAAGATATCCTATAATATTCCTCTTCTGAAAGACAGTAAATTATTTCCCGGGGGGACGTTTCCTCTCCTGCCGCTGATGCCCTTATGAAGTGCTTTGTTGTCTTTAGCTCACTGAACAGTCGCCGCACACTAATGTTTTGTTTTGCTTTGAATTTCTATAAGAACTCATTTCCCACTCCTATAAAAGACACTTAGCTTGGAAAATGCGTTTTCCCAGCAGTATCCCTTTGCAAATCTTTAGTCATGCTTGTTTTTCATCCCATTTCACGCGGGCATTTTACAACCCCAATATGATAAATCTTCATCTTTTAACCAAAATAATGTGTTTTTGTAAATGTACACATGTAAGGCTTGAGTAAACTGGTTTTGTGTTGGTGGATTAGCCCCTTAAATGCGCTGTCTTCCTCCTTCAGGCCCCTTCCATGGCTGCGTTTCGTGGCTTTGAGAGGATGTTTCGTGGAGTTGCAGGCAGAGGGGTTGTCTGTTATCTTTGGTTATCTAGCTGTATGAGTGACGTACATTCTTCATAAAGCTAGATAACCGAAAGTAACAAGAATCCCATTACACGCCTGCAACAGCGGCCGGTGACTGGAATGAAGGGATTTGGACTCAGCCACGGATGATGTGAAGGTGAGTGTGTGTAGATGAAGTACTGTTGTGCCAATGCAATTCTTTCTCTGATATTTGTTAAGGCCTTGTCCATGCTTCTCCCTAAAATAATGCCTGACAATGTATTCAAATGAGGATCTAGGCCTAAAATACATGTTTAAAAAGCGCTACACTGGTTAATGACCCCTATCCAATTAGTATTATGCTAGAATGAGAGTTTGAGCCTCCATCGTCCATAAGGCTTGTTTCCTTGGATACACATCGACCCTGTGTACTTCAAATATACCAAAATAATTACATGATATTGTAAAGGCCTTGAACTTTATATCTACCAAACTTTTGCTTTCAGATACATTTGTGGTGTTGGACTCACATCTGTATGTTATAATACTGACATTTTATTTATTCCAAACTTGTAAATAATTGTTTCATTGCCACTAAATCAACACAAAACTCTATATCATGAGGCCAAGTGTGGAAATACAGTATGACATATGTTAGTGTATTTAAAATGTTAGATATTGGCTTGAAGTTGTTAAAAATGAATCAAAACTCAAGGTCCATAAATAGACACATGTTCAAAGAGTTCACTATAGAATCAGATAATGCATTCTACAGCACATCTATGGTTTGTAACTTAACTTGACTGTGAATGCTGGGAAATGTTTATGGTTTGAGCCCGATCATGGAGACCTCTGGGGCTTCGTTCAGCAGCAACAATGAAGAGCTGAGCATTCGTCTGGAAAAGGGCCTTAAATCAAACAGCAACAAACACAACTAATGAGTTAATTTATCAGAAGAAACTTAAGGATTTATGACAAAATATTGTGACCTTTGATTGTAAACAATATAAAAAGGCTTAACGCGACCACACACAAGTCCACTGGGAACTAACATGCATCTCCAACAAATGGACTCGTCAACACTTCCCTTTTGCCACTTTCACTTAATTTTATTCTTTTAGTTGTTTCCCAGCTCAGATTCTCAGATGGTTGGTTCTGATTTGTATGCATTTGCATAATGAATGTCATTTGCATGCTCAGGGGCAGACCATACCATGAGAATGGCTGTGTTGGGTGTTTGTGAGCGTCCACATGTGCCCTGTATATTAAACACATGTAAATGGCACCTATTTTACCCAAACAGACGTCACATTGTGTTGTTCCACTCTGTGTACATATACACTTTGTTTTGCTACATTGGCAGAGGCGCATGTGTCTCAGGGCTTTGTGTCCACAGCAGAGTGCAGCTTGTAGGGCAGAACTGACAGAGCTCATGCTTCTTCCTGTCTTTACAAACACAGGCGAAGAATGAAAATAACAGACTCCCTGCTCATTCCCACAATCCTTCTCTCCAACCCCTCCCATGCCAGTGTCCTCCTCTCCCACACAAGTCACAGTCCTGCCACCATCTTAGGTGTAAGACTGGCACAAAATGGCAGCTGCACAGGGAACTAGCCCATGCTGCACCTTCCCCCACTTCATGTTGGCTCCTGAGGTTTACGCGCCATTGGCCGCCTCAAGACACTGTTAATTACTGCCACTGTGTTAATTGTAGAGATCGCCCCAAGAGACGAGCGCGAAGAGAAAGGGATAGGGCGAGACCGCTGTAGCATTTCGAGTCAAAAGCTGGCATTTTTAAGGGCAGCTGTGGCTTGTGCCCGCTTCACGCTGCAGATAGTCGCAAACAACCATTTTGTGTGTTTCGGACGCGGTCACAAAGAATCCACATCGAGTCGATGGTTTCAGGGAAAGTAATTGCATTAATTCCTCATGGTTTAATTAAACGTGTTAACGGCAGACATCGTCAGATCTGCATGTACGCAGCACATGAGCTGCTCATGAGGAAACACCTACGTGCCTTTGACATCTTCAAAGCTGTAATTAGAAACCACCAGGATTTGTCCATTTACACATTATCACCTTTTTATATGAACAGCATTCATCCAATTAGTCGTGTGCAGGATGCACAGTGCGCCGCAGCAGTACGTGTGTGTTACACATCAACCGCCGCCTTATCTAGGAGAAAACTACTCGGTTACTTTGGTCCAAAGTCAATTTTACATTTTTTGTGAAGGTTTTAATACATAATGAAGTTTTAGTAATGATCAAAAAGTCAATATTTTAAAATACACATGAATATAACGGTCTAAGGTTAAAATGAGTCAGTGTGTGTGTGTGTGTGTGTGTGTGTTCAGAGATCAGTCCAACTTTGTTTTACTTTTTCTCAGACCAAACCTGCTCCGAACACTTCCTGTCTGTTGTAAAGTGCACAGGTCCTGATGGGGCGTCCTGCAGAGGAGGAGCAGACAGACAGAGAGTGAGATCTCAATAGTGAGAGGGCTCTTTGTGTTGTGTGTGAGGTTTATTTTGGGGGGGCACAGGGCTCAGAGGAGGGGGTCCTCTCTGGGTGCCCAGACAAGAGGCACATTGTCCTTTCCAATGTGTGGCGGCACTTGTGGCGTAACGCCATTATTTAGGGCAGAGGAGGGACGGGGGTCTGGAGACCAGCTTAACCAAAACGCCAATTAGAGCCGGATCGTCCTGATTAATGGACGAGGGGAGATTGGTAAACAAAGGCGGCCATTGTTAAGATCTGCCTCCGTCTCTTTAGTGGTCCATCCGCAGACTGTCTGCCCCGCCGTTTGCTCCTTCATTGGTAATAATTTTTTTAACCTGTGAAATTTAAATTGACTCATTTAATTCACAGAACGCTCATATTGTATTTAGGAATTAATTTTCACAAAGTACATTTTATAATACATGTTTTTATTCTGTCCAAAACACAGAGGACAAAAATAAAAGTGTTAGTTTGTTCAGTTGCCAGTGTGAGGCGTATGTTAATCACGGTGCTTGGCTCTGCATTTCAATACGTCCCACTTTATTGTTTTTGTTTTTTTTTTTCGTTTTTTAAGCATATGCGCTGAATAATTAGCCACCACCACCACACACTCCAATCAGGACCATGCCAATGTGGTTTCCATGACAACCTCATCAGCTTTTGCCCATCACCCCCTTCTCGTCGCGCTCTTACTCCTCCTGCTCCGCGGCACAAACAGGACAGGGAAAAATAAAGCGTGGGAAAAACAGTTTGGAGGCTCCGGTGAAGCTGGAGGGTGGAGGGAGATGCCGAGATCCCATGTCAGAGATCAGGACAGGGGCTTATGTTTCCAACAGGACACACTGGATGTTTTGGGTTCTGCATTCAGCACATGTTTTTGATTGGGAGCTTACAGTAGCGATAATAACAGGAGGCGTTGGAGGTGACACAGGGAAGCGGACCTCCCCCATCTTTAGAGCTTCATGAATATGCTCGGGCTTAACCAGGCTCCATGCATAGATTACCCCGCTCAAGGATGGTGCATTTTGACCCAAGAACAATGCAAAATGGCCCTCATGTATAATCCATATTGTTATTGGGGTATTAGCGACATGGACTCATCTCAAACCAAGCATATGTCTAAATGTAAGATGCATGGCGTGTATCACTTTGCATGCGTTATACATAAAGTTGAGTTTGATAGAGTTGGGATCTGCATTTTAATGAATTATATTGATGAATACAGGAAAGCTAACCACGCTACGCATTGACTTCAGACTGATTGGTAATTGGTCGCCATTTTAAGGGCAATTCCAGAGGACAATATTGTTTTAGGACAAAATCAAAGCCACGGAATTGCAAGAAATCTAGTTTTGCATCACTCAAAAACGCACACGGTCTATCAAAGTGAAGTTTTGAATTGACAGGTCGCTATAGGTGTATCTCTGCTTTTGCCTAAATCATGCGCTTTCTGTCTCCTTTGTTTGTAGAAATGGCACTTACCTGGGTCAGAGCTGTCGGCGTGTCGCATCGTTCACACCTGATGGCTATTCTCAGCAGCTAAAGGCTTCATCTCACACGTCACTGCAAGAAATGAACGAAAGTGTGAGAACGAGACTGGGGAAAACATCGGAAGATTTAACACCAACTAATGTGGATTTACAAAACTCGACAAGACACGATTCAAGGCAAAGCTCGGCATCAAGAAAATGATTCTCACAGACCGTGAAAAGTCTCATCCTCAATGTTTAGATTTTGACCATATAGAACATAGGCTAGTTTTGTATTGATGTTATATAATAGTATTTTATATTTCTTTAATGTTTTCTTATTATTGTCTCATTTGTAAAAATATTTGTTGACAATCTATTCTCTGGTTTGAACTTGAAATAATTTGCACTATAACCTCATGTTGTGATGCACTAGTGACGAACGTGCACTAATTTAGGAGTAGATTAATCTTATGTCTATGCAAGTTTATATGTAATTAATTGCACTGCTGGTCTTTGCAGCACTGCTTTGTTTGCACAAATAGAAAAAGGATTTTGAAACGGGTTTGAATATGGTTTTATTATGCAGTGGAGGAGCATGAGTGCAATGTCGTATGTACATGTTGAAGAAATGTCTATATTTGTCACACTATAGTTCTAGAGACTTAAATCTGAGTTTCCCAGATTTATTCTAATCAGCGTTTGACAATCAGTGTAATAACGTGTGAATGTGTGACTGATTTTATCGCTCTCACATTTAGAGAATTGCAATAATGTGTTTGAAATCAGCTCAATTTGCACCATGCTGTCGTGCTCTGTGCTCGGACTATGCAAGTGTGGTTTGTAAACGGGGTTTTAAATAAATCAATAAAGTTTAATGTTTACAATGAGACAAACAAAAAGTATCTGAGAGTGTTTCCTTCTTTCTCACACATGTATACTGGACATAATAATAACACATCTTTTTTTGCATAGCACTTTTTGAATCGAATATTTACAAAGTATTGCACAGTAAGCATAAAACCACATTATGACATGAAAAATCCAAGAGAGCAAAAATACAGAACAATAAAGTAGACAGAAGACACACAACAAAAAATACCATGTGGAACAATGATATATGATGCATGACGAGGGCCGTTCCATGATAGAAGGTACATATAGACAATATTTTTTAGGACAAAAGCAAAGGAAAAGCAAGAAATCTAGTTTAGCATCACTCGAAAACACACATGTTCTCAAACCCAGAGCTTTCAAAGTGAATTTTTGAATTGACAGGCTGTGTATCTGAGCCTTTGCCTTAACCATGTGTTTTCTGTCTCTTTTATTGACCTTGGAATGGCCAACAGAGACCGGCCGGGATCTAAGGCTGCAGGTGTGTATGGGTTAAAAGCCCGGAAATATAGCCTTAGTCCAGGTCTAAACCAGGCGGCACGGTGGCTGAGTGGATAGCACTCTCGCCTCTCAGCAGGAAGGTCCTGGTCCTGGGTTCGAATCCCGGTTGGAACAGGACCTTTCTGAGTGTAGTTTGCATGTTCTCCCCGTGTCTGCGTAGGTTTCCTCCAGGTGCTCCGGTTTCCCCTACCACTAAAAACATGCACATTAGGTATGAATGTAAATGAGAGAGTGAATGGATGGTGTTGGTTGGAGCTGATGGTCCAATGTGTTCTGGACTCGCGTCTGTCATCACCGTGTGTGGAAGGATTCGAACAATATCTGACTCTGAACATTGTAAAGCGCTTTTGGTCTGTAAAATGTGCTATATAAATAAACATTACCTACTTAGATATAAAAGTAAAACTGCTGGTTAGGTGTCATGAGTCATATATATACAACATGAAAACCAGAAGCTTATAATTATCAGTAGCCTCTATGTGGACAACATGTACTTGCACTTATGGTTAGGGTATACAGTTTATATACAGGGGCGCAATAGCACTGTCCAGACCAGATACTCTACTTGGAAAACAACCAGCTCACACTCTTTCAAAACCTCTCCAAAAACATGTACTTTTTGAGGATTCAGATTCAGATTCAGAGCTATCATTTGATTTTATCTGAGTTGCTTTGTGACATCGTTCCCATTTGTCATTTTGCCAAATTTATCTCCAAACTCGTCAAAATATGATAATGTAAGAATAAAACCACGATTTGCACCACATTGACCCAAACTGACACCGCTATTAACCAAAGTCTGTGGAGTGTAAACAGCGATGAACACAGAACAAAAGGAATCTCTCCAATGACAAAGAAATCACATCTGGACACGGGGCCGCAGATGCTCAGCCCTGGATCCATCTGCTCCAACTCACACCTGGAAACATCTGCAAACTCCAGCGAGAGGCCGAGGATCACAGAGCTGCAGACCTGAGCTTTGTGTGATGAGAGATCCCATTACATCAGGTCAAAAATGATTCCGATCAAAGGTTTGAAGTAGAAATAATCCGTGTTTGTTGAATTAGAAATGGAATTAAACCAGAAAATCTATATACTTTTTTATGCGTTTATTTTCAAGCTGAGCAAGGCCTTACACCACTCCCGAGGTGATTTTTAACTTGCTTTTCTAAGTGGAGTTTGCATGTTCTCCCCGTGTCTGTATGGTTTCCTCCGGGTGTTTCGTTTTCACTTACCACTATTAACATGTACAAGAGGTCCGGCAATGATGACCTCGTTCCCATCTCTGAGTGGAGTGAGAGACAAATGCCCTGAACAAATTTGTAAAGGACTTTGTGACTTTGGTCTGTGAAGGGCGCTAAATATTTATATTAAAAATAAATAAATAAATATTGGTTTCTGCTTTGACTGTTGGTCCCACAACCCGGCAATGTTGCTTTGTCGGTACATTATGGTCTAATTATTTTCTCATAAAGGTATGTCAGATATAAGAATAATATGGCCGCTTTGTGAATCTAATCCCTATCAAAACATTTTTATCAACAATTCTTTTAAAAATGACTTCTTTCCCACAGCCTTGTCCTGGCACCTGTCCCCCAACTTCTAACTCTAGAACACAATTTATTTATTTAATCATAAATTTGGGTAAATCCACTTAAACTGCTGTCACTACAAATGCAGATGTTCGTACATAAATGTCCAAACAGTGGGAATCCCAAACGCTGAGAATGTGCCTGAAGCCAGAAGTCATTTGCGTGCTGCCCCATTAATAATGACGTTGTTGAGAGCCCCTATAGGAGACATGAGAAGGGCCATATGACAGGTACAGGCCTCCTCCGCCGCGGGACAGGCCTCCAGACAGCAGCCCTGTTACGGGAACCACACGATTATAAAGGAATCAATAACTAAACAAAAGGCCATGTCTGGGGGAAAATCGTGGGAAGTGCCGCACGAAGCCTGATTAGCATTCTGTATTGCGAGTCTCAGTGGGCCGTCTCTGCCCCCCCTACACCCCCCTAAAATGAAGAATGGTGGTCCCGCGCTGAGGAGGGGCGGCGGCGGGCCAGACGAGGGAGCACAGAGTCCGGGAGACAGACTGACAAACGGGGAGGGTCCACAGCCAAGTTCAAGTTCAACAGCCTCATCTGCATACGGGACCCCAGGAGTCACGGGGTTCGCTCTCTCACATCCTCAAAGTCTGCAAATATTTTTAAGTTTTTCATGGGTTACGGTTAAAACTCAATTTAGGGACGTCAATAGAAAAGAGTATGATATAAATCCAATGTATTTTTGCCCACACGTTAAAGATGTAAAATATAACATGTTTTCTGATAAGATAAAGGATGCATGTTGTGGTCTGATCTGTCAATAAATGGTCTTTAAGCTGTATTTTTCTATTGCGTAAAACAAAATATCTATAGAAAAAAAGTATGTATAGTAAATAGTAAATAGTTTTGCGAGTGAGTGGGAGCTATGTTTAGGTACAGTATTGAGGCCCTTGTTGAATGTTAAAGCTGATTTCTCGAGTTTTTCCAAATGAAACAAAAAGTTAAGTGTATGGACTTTTCTTAATGTTTTGTAGATAAAGAGAATGTATTGATAACAACTCATGCTGAGCTCATTCCACCACAAGAAAACTCCCAAAGCATCACAGCAGAAACACTCAGTTCTAGGCTTAATAATGACGGGGAAAAGCCAAATTAATATCAACATAAGAACGTGAAAATGATTTTATGAAGGAATGACAGTAGTCAAAAACAGTTATTCACATTTGTCCATGGGCAAGACCAATGTGTTTGTATTGCTCAATAGACAAGACAACTCAAAGTTCTTTACAAACAAGTAAAAAAGTTAAAACACAAGAATGAATAATCACATTAACCCTCAGTTGTAGGAAATAGCTCAGAACTGTTTGAACATGTTTATTCCTGACTCTGGGACCAGCAGGAGGCCAGTCCTTGTGCTCCTCAGAGTCCCAGCAGGAGGCCAGTCCCTGTGCTCCTCAGAGTCTGCAAATGTACTTTGGTGCGAGGCCATGGAGAGACTTGCATTAAAGTTACTGGTCATTAACTGTTATGTGTCAAAGAAACTACTATAAAAATACGACCTTAGCTTTGAAATGTAGTATAGAGGCTGTATAATAAATAAAGCTGTTGTTTTTTCTACTGTAAACCCAATAATCGAAAAGACAATAGAAGCCTCAGTATCTACAAAATAGTTGAAATAATAAAGCAACACTTTAGTAAGATCAAATCATTCATTCATTCATTTTCAACCCCTTTATTAATCCATTTCTGGGTCAGGGGGGTGACAATCAGAACTGCCATCCAATGCTCATGGCCCCAGTCAAATCAAATCATGCAAGATCAAATCATTGAAATGAAAAATACAATCCATTGTGATAAATAATATGGAGAGTTTAACCAAACAAAAATCCGTTGTGAAAGTTTCTGAAAAAAGCTGTGTATATTGTGTTGTACAAATTCCAATGGAGCTTGAAGGAAGTAATTGATTAAAGTCCACTGCTATGAGTCCCAGGAGAGGACAGGACGTGTTTAAGGTCAGGCAATAAGTGGGGCACAGCCAAGCGTGACCCAGAGGTCCCCCATTATTCACCCCCAGTCAGAGCCGGACCCTCTGCAGCCGCTCTGGTTGATGGC